CAAGTCCTGTTGTCCTTTTGAGGAAGGGTGAAAAGATGTTGGTATTAATATTTAGTTTGCTTTATTTCAAATTCTAAACTTTTAATTGGAGCTTTAACAACAGCAAAACTCTGGATTTTCTCACTTATGATTGTTCTTTATGTCCATACTGAAAAACAAAAACAAAACATTGTGTACAGGCATTTATATATTCCTATCATAATCTATGGCTCCACTTTTTAATAAGGCATAAAAGCTGCATTCGGTTAATTAAGGAAATCGCGCCTCGATTTAATTTTTGTAGTATCAAATGTGATGAGACTTTGCAGTTTGGACGTCGCCATATTTGATGTTTACTTTAGTCACTGTCGCTATAGTAACAGGTCACAAATAGAATACAAGTTGCACGTACATACAGTTATTGGTAATTGATTCATACTTGAACATTCTGCTACTTTTATGATGTCATGGACTTTGGATCACTTTGGATCATGTGTTTAAAATCTCTATAAAAATACACTAATACGGCGAAAATTATCGACTTGTTCAAGTTAATTCCACAAAAAAAGATTTTTCTGAAAAGAATCTCTTAAACATGTTCTCCTTTGTTTCTTTCCATCTTCATGTCACTGCCATGAACGGTAAGAGTGGCAAGAAAGACAGCAATAAAAGGCTAACTCAGCTCATTTTTAATTTGCAAAAAATCTGAATGTGTAGCATATGAAAACTGTATAAACAGATAGTGTTTCTGAAAATGTTCTTCTCATTTTCTTTTTCTTTGCATGACTCATTCTGTCTACATGCCATGGTTTGAGGTGCCACGATGGTGGTAATATTAAAAAATAAAAAATAAAAACTGTTAATTTGTGTTATGGTGCAGCATGATTTTTTTATTCTGAAAAATCACTGTATTTCTGAACATATTATTCTCTCTCTTTCTTTGCATTACTCTTTCCAACTACATTCAACGGTTTGAGCCTTACAATGACAAACATGGCAATGCACCAAAAAAATGTTATTTTGTGTTAAAATACAGCATGATTTTATATTCTGAAAAAACCACTGTATTTCTGAACCTATTCTTCGTTGTTTCTTTCTTTGCCTAACTCTTTCCAGCTACATGGCACGGTTTAATCTGCCACAATGAAATGGTAAACTATCATCTGACAGCAATATAAGATAATTCCAGTCTGAATGTTTTGTATATGAATACATTTAAAACATGTATTAACTTGTTTAAAAGTGGAAATTCACTGTATTTCTGAACATGTTCTTGTTTTTATTTTTTTTATTTTTCCATGACTATTTCTGACAAAATGCTACAGTTTGAGCCATTACAGTGGTGAATATGGTAAGATAGATCACACGAGAGAAGTAGCCAGTGCTCAAGGTGGGCCCGTATCAGTATCAGTGCAGTACCAGCACTTCTGTATTTTATTCTTAGTGTAACATTACTTTTTCTTGCGTACAGGGATGTCTGGTCTGGTTATATTATAATAATAATAAAAAAAGTATCATGGTAATAGCATTTTTGGGCTGTATTTGGGCTAGTGTTATATGATGATATGATACATGATATGATATGACATGATATATGATTGATATGATATGATATAAGACTAGGGAAAACAAGGTTTAAATCTTTTATTCTCAGTGCATCCCATGAATTGTGAGGTTCGCAGGATTTCAGAAAATAAGGGAACATGTTATTTTTTTGTGAACACTGAAGCGCAGTACTTTTAAAGATACAATATTTGGGACCAATACAAAAAAAGCCCTGTAGCGGTAACCGTGGTATTTTGATAGTATGGTAGCCTAATGGTAGGCTATTTTGCAGTGTTGTGGGAGATATTCTGAAGTCCAACTGAAAACAACAACAACAAATACATAGGCTACATGCCGCATACATAGCTGCAAAACAATGAACAACATAATCACCACACAAGACATCATCATAACGTTGTTTCCTGTCACGGTCATTAGACAAACGGCACGTTATTTCTTTCTTTCTTTAAAAACGATGTAGATCCACATCAGTCCAGTAGGTGGCAGTATGCGCACTCAGATCTGTGAACTGCCAGAAATGAACAGAAGAACTTCCTCGAAGAAGACTCTGGAAGAATCATGGCGGTGGATAAGAAAGATACGCGTTCAGGGAAAGCTCCTAAAAAAGAGTCGCAGCCTTTAATTATCGCCAAAACTCCAGCAGAGAAGCAGCGCCTAAAGTTGGAGAGATTGATGCGAAACTCAATTTAATGATTCGTACTCTATATTGATTAGTAAATTCGTACGCATCCATTTCTTTTAGTATTTTTGAAGAAGAAATGCATACATAATAAATATATCATTTCAATGTAAATTATGAAATGAAATTCATAATTTAAATTTAAATTAGGGCTGCACGATATTGGAAAAAACTCACATTGCGATATTTTTTTTTTCTGCAATTATATATTGCGATATGAAAAAAAAATCAGATGATTTCAATAGCTCTATTTGCGAGAAAAAATAATCAATGATTAGGGTGATTTTGTAGGCGAGTAAATCAGCATAGGAAATAAACAAATTACAAGCATAGATAAATAACAGAACAAAGATACAAATGAAATAAGCAGTGCTTTATATTTTTCAGGTAAGTCTAACAGTATTCAGGCACAGAAATTGAATAATCAAATGTAAAATAACACTGCATAGTTTTCACTATAACTTTGTGTTTTGTTGTTTAATTAACGTTCATGACAGAGAGAAAGCAACAGGAACATTAAACTGTTGTGAACCAATATACTGATACACATCCATTTTCTTTCTCAATTGTTTACCTTCACCTAAGCCATAAGCAACTGTATTTACAAGGATTCTTGCAGAGCACAGTATTTCAGGCACAAATAGAGCAGAAGTGAACAGAAATCAGTGTTCACGTGCATCTGCTTGGCTCTCACCATGTAACCCATTATAATCAGTAATGCTGTGGGACTGACTACACTGGATGTGGCGCGACACGACAAATCCCCGACAGTAAACTCGTTTATGACGTACTGACACAAAGTTCAAATGATATGTAATGGTCACTTTGTCGCATCCGGTGTAGACAGACTTCTACATGTTCACATGTCGTGGGTGGAAAACGCCAGCCGTGCCGCTTTCTCCTTCTTTCCAAAGCGCTCGGGAGCTTGCGCTTTCGTGGAGTCTGCCGTTGCTAAGCGACCGTGAACCGCGCTCTCCGCGAAGACGTGGAAGTTTCAACAAAGGATAAATGGATTTCCAGCACTGA